AAACGAAGAACACGTAGAGGCCCTGCCATAATTCTGAGAAGTGGACTGACGGAACTCAACCCTGAAAAAAAACTCTGACTGCGAGAAAACCAGGTGACGACGACCAGGAATCGTCAATCGACGTCCAAACACTCAAGAAGCGACCACCCCGATCCTTCCTATGATGAATCAAGAAGTAATTGATTCCACAAACACAGAAACAGTCCACGCTGCAATCGCCCGAGAGAACAAAAGGTTAGGGCTCTGATACCATGACAAATTCGATTTTGCTGAATAATCTTACGTGCTTATTCCCCTTCTTTATATAGTATTACAAACAATTTAAAGATACAAACTATATATGAAAATTAGCTATTATGTACAAGGAAACTACCTAATTAACCAAATTAGCTGTAAGTAAATAATAATAGACTACTAATATTAAATGCCTTAGATTGCAACAAAGGAACTGAATAACCATGATTGGCCTACCAAGAGATTGGTTCTTCGTACATTCTTGTGTCAATAACATGGAGTTGATTGAAATACTCCGATTCACTAGAAAAGGACCCAATTTTTTTTTTAAGGTAATTAAATATTTTATTAGTCAGTACATAATACACAGGAAGTGTAGAAGGACCCAAATTCAACATATGCTTTCTTCAAATTAATTGGATTTTCAAAAAACCTTTTAAAGCATTTGCTTCTATTCTTCTAAACTTCTTGATCCTCATGTAGTGCAATTCTTGGAACTCTGTTACTTCCATCTTGAAGCCAAGCTTCATTGAAATACTTAGGAACCAAAGAGTACGCCATACAATGCAAATTCCAGCTACTCTCCAAAACTTGGCGAATAGCACCAAAAAAGTCTGAAAGCCCGAAAACTATATCTATTCCTTTGTGCTCAAATACTTTTTTTTTTTTTTTTTTTTAACATTTTCAATCATTGTATCCTACATATCATATATTAAATGTAAAACTGGGGAATTGGTATGAGCAACTCATAACATATTATGAATAGGTTTAGTGAAAGATAACAAATAATCCAAATTATCCCGCCAAACATCATTGACTACACACATTTTCACTTCTTGTGCTTTACCATGATCGAGTTGTACGTAGACGAAGAGTTGACTACTCACCAATTATTTTATTTTATTATAATATGAGTATTTCTAGTTTTATAATTAATAATACTGAATTTGTGATGTTTTCGTTACTATATATAAAGTTGACATGAATAGAAATAAGAAATAAAAAACTTAGTATACCAAGAAACTCAAATATAAGTATTGGAAAACTATTTTAAATAAAGCCAATTTAAATTTTCATTTACTTTTACATAAATTAACTGATATTGGCGGTGAAAAAATGAATTCGTAGTTTGGTTTGCTTATCAACTCTTTGAATAAAATCAATTTAAACAATTAGATTATAATTTGAAATCAATTTAAATTTAAAGCTAAAATAAATTCTTTTAAAAAAAATTGAAGAAACAAGTCAATTTCAAGGTCTTATATATTATTTAAAAACAATTATAGAAATAAATTTAAATTTAATACCAAAAAATAAGATAGGGAACATCTATTTACATCCACCAATGTTATATATCTATCACACTCTATATCTATCGATATTGATTTTTTTTAAAAAAAGTACTATTTTCATCTACATCACATTTCAATATTGCCCTTATTAAATTCATTCATTTAAACACTATACATCCACATCATTTTTATAAATTTATCTCATCATAATTCTTTCAATCCTTTCCTATGGCTATCTACACCATTTCTATATATCTATACATTCATACCATTATTATATATATATACCTATCCTATCAGAATTTCTTCGTAATCCTTTCATATTTTCAATCGTTGCCGTCAATATGCATTGTCAATTTTTTTTACTTGTTTTGATAATTCTAGCAGATTAGCCACCATTGTTTTGAATTTAAAAAAATAAATAAGAAAGAAAGAAAGAAAGAAAGAGAGAAAAAAAGATAATCCTAGCATAAAACTAAATTTTTTTGTTTTGATAATCCCAGCAGAAAAGATAATCGTCAATGTTTCCAATTCAAGAAAATCAAAAAAATAAAAAATAATCCCAATAGAAAACTCCAATAATTCGAAATGAAATTTCTTATCAATACTACTTGAATTCAAAATGCACATTATCAAATAACCCAAACACGAATCAAGTATTCTTTACATACTAAATTCATCAAACCCAAAATAAAAGGTAATCTTTACTTTTTTAAATTCTTCTACATATATTGTTATGTCTGTATGTGTTTATTTTAATGGTGTTTCTTCCATTATTGTTTGGCTTTAGTTGAAGAAGATATTTATGAATATTAGGTTTTATAAAAAGTTCCAAAAGAATTTAATGAAAACAAATATTAGTGGACGAATTCAGAGTGATATTTTTATTTAATTTTATATAAGTTTATTTATTCAAGTAAATTTACACAAGATTAAAAATATAATATTATTTTCTTTTTAAAAGTGACCATATATATGTTGACCTCCGTCAATACAAGAGTTCATCAAAATAATTAAAATCAGTTTAAGTTGAGTTTAAATCTCATAATAAGTTCATCATGTCAGGGCGGAACTCTAGTTTAGTTTAGCTTAGGAGAAAGGAATTGTCGCCATCATTTGGGGAACATCATCATTACACTCTGGTTTCCCTTACTTCAAGGCTGACATCACACCTTTATCTAACCCAATCACCCCGGACATGTGGCAAACATCATGGGGTGCCCCAAATTGTGTTGCAATGATAACTTCCCATCTTAGCTCCGACATGGTACATGGAAGCTGACCTCAATAGCTAATCAAAATTAGGTCGTGAGCACGCATATTAATGTTGATTTGATGTAAAACATACCAATTTTCCTATTTCCTACTATAAATGAGATTGTAATGGTCCCCCATGACCAAACTCAACCATCGTATGAAACTCACTTCAAAATCTTTCCATTTAATACAAATATACTATTTTCTTATTATTTCAGCAATATTATACTATTTTAGCACAATTTACATATTTTAGCTTATATTACCTCTTTCAAATCCTCAATTAAGTTTTAAGTTGACAAAAGTTACCTAGTCATTTTTCGATGTCGACAATATATAACAATGGTGGGTGTGAACGCGACTCCCAAAAGATATATCACTAAATCATTTTATTTAAAATAAAAAGTTTTCACAGATAAAATATAAGAAATAAGAAATCTAATACAAAAATAAACCTAAATTAAATGGTTGACCATACAACTTATCCCAATAAAATAATTGTAATTTCATTTACTATGCCCTCGTTTGGCCCCCCATTATTGAAAATTTAATCATTGTAAAGTGTTTTTTTTTAAATGTGTGGTTAAAAAAGAAGAAAGTTTTGGAATTTGGAGAATGTGTGGTTGATAAGAAGGGAAAGAAAAATGAATTATAATTTTCAATAAATATGCTCAAAATCATGCAGTTACTTCATACTTGACCTTTATATATATTCTTCGAATTTTAACAAAAACATATTGATCAAAATCATAAATAATACAATTATTTGGTAACCAATTTTTACAATTAGTTAAGACATGAACATCCTAATTGTTGTCTAACTCTTTATTGGATTCCAATTCAATATTCTTTTCTTCATCCAAGTCATCGTTTGTGTCATTGATGCAAAATTATCTTCATTGGACTCCCTTATTTCAAATCGAAAATTTCTATTACCTCTTGTAGATGATAACATATCAGTGCTAACCTCCTCAGCATCATCACAATTCACAACCATCAATAATTCAAGATTATACATTACTAGTATCATTTGGTAGTAAAACTAGAGGAAGACCTAAGGAGGAGGCTCGGACTTGACGTAGATAGTTTGCAACTTTTCGAAAAATTTGTATTGATTTTTAATTTTTCTAAATGTCAAAAACCTACATGTTACTGAATATAATTCATGGATTTGGGTGATTTGGACTAATTTGATGTTTGTTGGGCTCAATTTGCTTTTGTAATATCATAAAAATGGGCTGTGCTTTGATAAGTTAGTTTAGAACACTGGTCTTAAGTGATAGTAATTATGAACAGGTCAAATTAAATTAGGTATTCCATCTGTTGTGATATCCTTTCCAACCACGCGGTTTTTTATAAATGTGATATGCTTGATGTAGATCTTGTATTTTTTCTGAATCCTACATTTTCAGTCAGGATGAATGATGGCTTGTATTTATAATTTTATTCTTAGTACTATTGAAGTATGAGATTTTAAGTTTCCTAATGCTTTAATGCTGTGATAGATTTTACTGTGTAGGACTTGTTGTAGACCTGGCTTTATGTTGCATTAGCTGAGAATGTTGTTAGTTCTACATTAAAGCTCAGATGTCTTTTATGGCACATGACATTTCATAACAATTTTGCTGCGGTACTAGCAAGAATGAAGATTGCTGATATGGTTGGATTCATTTTCAATATAAATATCTCAACCTTGATAAATAATCTATTAAGGATTTCATGCGTGTCAGTGACGAATTTGCTTTTTAATAGTAAACTAGTGATTGTAGACTTGTATTAATTTGTATGAAGCTGATTTGGCAAATTCTCTAGCTAGTACAAATTTAGTCAAAATTTAGCCTTCTATTTATGTTGAGCGTTGATCAATTAGATTCTTGGACCTTTTTGACTTGAACTTGGTTTTCAGTGTTAGAAGTCCATTCAGCTTGGACATATGTTCTTTTGTATAATTTACCAGTTCTGAATTTTCTAGTATTATGCCCTCGTTTGGCCCCATTAAAATTATAATTCATTTTTCTCACTTATAAACCATACATTCTTCAATAAATAATATTACACATAATCTCAAATCTTTTCCTCTTTTTTATAACCACACATTTTTCAAAAAAACACTATTCTAACCATTAAAATTACAAATAACGGGGGCCAAGCTGGGGCTAAGTTATTGTTTCTAATTTTGGCAATATGGATAACAATTGTGTACCTTTGAAATTACAGGTCCTTGGTACAGATGAATTGAATGCATATTTGAACAAATATCGTCTTGAACTGGACCCTCAACTTGAAGCTCTTGTTGGAAGGTATACAAGTAAACTATGATTCATCTCCAAACACTCCCCCAAAATAATAATAAATAAATAAAGATCTGAACACACACCCACAACTACCCAAATGCAGACATCAAATGGGTCTTAGCTGAAAATTTGAAGATAATTTTTTAAAAGAAGTTTGACAACAGGCTGATTCTGTTGAATGAGATCTTGTTTCGTGTCACATATATGCTTTCCTCAGGCACAGCAGGAAGCCTTGGTCAAGATTTATTAACTCAGACAATCAACATCTAGTTTCTCCAGAGGTTATTTATACTGTTACCACATTTTCAATATCTTTTTCCCTTAGTTATTAGGTGTGCTACAGCATAACTGTCGATATATATTTTTTATTATGTCTGTGCAGGCCATTGATTTTCTTGATAAACTTCTCCGTTATGATCATCAAGATAGGCCTACAGCCAAAGAGGCAATGGTAGTGTTTTGTGACTGACTTTTTATTTTCCTTTTTCTATTGTTCGAAAGATATGGAATATGCATGTTTCATATTGTAAGTATGATTTTTATTATTATTATTATTTTTGGGTATCACATCCATCTCTCTGTGCTTCTAAGAATTTTTTGATATCCGTATAAGCCAAAATTTCATCTGTTTACTTCTCACATTCTAAATCATTTTATAGCACTCCTAATTTCCTGTCTGAAGTTTCTTGCAGATTTTGGATGTCATAATCTGTGTAAATTTCAATATTACCTTCATGTCTTGGAAGTAACTCGGTGCTTCAGTTGCTTTTGCTACCAAAAATTGCAATTTATATTTTCATCTTAGGTCGCTTCATTTTTTTTTGTCCCCCTTTAGTTGTAATTTTGAACCAGTCTTAGATCTTTTTTGGAATGAGATTTTTGGTATGACATTCCCATACTAAATAATGCACATTGTTCTTGTCCCTGTGCACTGAGAAAAAGAACTCGTTGAGAATTCAGTAAACATAGATTTATTCACACTTGCTTGAGATAACATTAAAATTCTTGATTGTTAGTTGGGTTGATAAATTGTGGATCTTTGTTTTATCTCAGGCTCATCCTTACTTCAATCAAGTGAGGGCAGCCGAAAATAGTAGGATGCGGACACAGTAGCTTTACACTCTTTTTTACAGTTGTGAAGTTGCATCATAAATGAACTTTGTCTTTTGAAGAAGATACTGCAGGAAATTGTATGCCGACCTAGGTAGGTTGATAATGATTAATGCTTGCAGTTGCTTTAGCTGTAAAATTTCGAATTCCTCCATTGCTATTAACATTGTACATTTTACACTGGGTACAATTGTAATTCTAAATGCTTGCAGTTGCTTTAGCTGTAACATTTCTAATTCCTCCATTGCAATTTACGTTGTACATTTTACAGTGGGTAAAATTGTAATTCTAAATGTTTTACCCTGGATATTATTGGACTTTAATACTCTTGATGACTGTTTCACTGTCATAACATCGTAATAATGAGCATACCCAGGGAGTTAAAACATGAAATGTTGTTATACATGTTTTTATACATGTATTGCTTCTTGGCCGGCCCAAAAACAGGGCGCCTCGGCGCCCTGTTTTTGGGCCTGGCTTTGAGCCTGGCCCAATAGCACAGCTCGTTTTTATATACTACACCCATCCTATAAAGATATATTAATTTTTCCTTTTCGTTTGTCTCAAATTATATGTACAGTTAATTTTTTAATACGTTCCTATTTAATGTGTTTTGTAATCAACAAAAACAAATTATTTTTATTTAAACCATAACTTAATGTAGAAGTATATTAGGAAAAATATAAGAAAAAAATTATATTTTCAAGTATATTAATGACATTTTCCTAGTGTTAAAATAGAAACAAGTTTATTATTATTATTATTTGGGTATTGTTGCAACGACTTAAAAAGCTTTGCATTTGATGTGGAAGTTCTTTTACGGATTTATTTCACGATATGGCATTTAGGTTGTATTGAATTATTTATTTACATGTATCATTAGATAAGTATGATAAAACATCTTGATTTGAACGAATAATTGTTGATATTTAGAAAGTTTGATATTCTTTTAGGTTGCTTTTGGTATATCGTATAAAGAATTTTGTGTAAGATTAGAGTATTAAAAATTCATTAAAAAAAAATAGTAGTTGATGGATGTTATTATGATAAATTAAGATAGATATCCTTTCATCTTTTAATAAAAATTATTATTTACATAAAATTGAAATAAATAATTACACCATCAACAATAAGAGATTATCCTTTTTCCTTTTTCTTCTTCCTGGGATTCAAAACCCATCTTACACATAAACTGACAATGTACAAAGAAATTCCAAATTTAGATAGTATAAATCTAACACTTCTCTATTGTAAATTTATATGATTTTTATACAGAGAAATGATCTATCAAGTATCGTTATTAAATTTATGTTAAACAATAACGAAAATTTTAATTCTCACCATATCTTATCTGCGGATTGTGAAAAATAAATAAATAAATAGAAAAAGAAATGAAAAAGGCCCACGTGAGAAGCATGTTCATTTTTCTATGTTCAAAAAGGGGCGGCGCGGAGTCATTATCCCGTGTTTGAACCCCACTGGATTTATGACATATACCAAACATTCATGTGAGATAGGATAAGCTCGTCTAGGTAGCAAACAAAAATTGGAAAGTTCTATTGCCTTCAGGATATGTACATATGCGTGCACGAAAAATGGGAGATAAAAAAATTTGTTTCCTTCTAATTCATGATGGTAGGTAGTGGAAGGACATAATCTCATGAGCAAATTACAAAATTATCCTTAAAATTAAGGGTCATTTGAAAAATCATATGAAACATATTTTGAAAGTAAAAAATACTATATAAAATCAATTGTCACTTTTTTTAATAAAAAAAGTGACTGATACAGTAAAAAAAATGACACTAAAAAAGTGACTCACTGTCACTTTTTAAAGTTATGTTTCATTTTTTTTTAAATGACATATGGTGTCACTTTATTAAAAAAGTGATATTTGTCACTAAAAAAAGTGATAGAAATCAAGAAGGTGACTAAAAAAGTGAAAAACATTTTTAAAAAGTGACAAATTTTTAAAAGTGACAACTCAAAAAAGTGGCACAAATTAAAAGAAGATATACAAATTAAAAAGTGACAGACAATAAAAAAAAGTGACAAAAGACTCAAAAAGTGAATTAAAAAAAGTGACAAACTCAAAAAAGCGACGAATTAAAAAAAAAGTGACAAACACTCAAAAGTGATGAAATTCAAAAAAATTGACAAAAATAAAATTTAAAAAAATGACAAAAATAATATGATGGTAATTTTCTCGTTGACAAAAATCCACCTATAATCAAATTTGTACAAGATAAGAACGCATCCTTATATAAAGCAATTTTGCTCTTGGTAGAACTATAAAACCAGCACAAATATCAAACCATGATACATGATTTTCCCACTTTATTCTTGTCCAATTACCAACAATACATGCAAGAAAGCCTCCAACAAGCAGAATGTCAATGCCATCATTAGCTTACACAGATTGAAAGGTGTTAAACCAAATGACTTCAACTGATTAAATAAACTCCAAGCTTTATTTAACTTCCAAGTATGACATTACCCATTAATCAATATGTCACAACATTACATGCCACTCCTCTCTCACGCATTTCATCGAACAGTTCATAAGCTTTGCTTGCATTACAATCCTTACAATACTCATACATCTCACAATTGTAAGTACACAAGTCGGGCAAAGCCCCATCAAGCTTCATCTTCTCATAGAGCTCGAATCCATCCCTTTTAAGTCCTTTCTAAAAGAGCCCATTTATCAAAACAGTGTAAGTATATTGATTAGCAACCAAACTCAGCTCTTCCATTTTACAGAACAATTCCTTTGCCTTTTCAACTTCACCATCCTTACAACACACATCAATCAACGTAGAATATACAACAACATTTGGACTATAACTTATGCTAGACATTTGATCCAAAACCTTTAATCTACTCATTAAAACAGAATTCTAAGAAAAGGCAGAAAAAGTATGACTAACCAAATAGATGAAAGGCGTCGGCGGTCGGTGGTGGAAGGCGGCGAGACGTCGAGATATGAGAGACCTTCTTTACCTTCTTCTTTTGCCGATGGACGACATCGAGGCGAGAGACTCGGAGATGAGAGTGAGATTGTTGAGAGAATTCAAGTCCCAGATTCTGTGGTTTTAGCCTTCAAGTTTAGATTTGCCAATTTGGGATCTCTGAGAGATGATATTGGATTCAATGGATTTCAATATTGGATTTGGAAGGTTTCTCAGAGTTTTCTGATTCAGGGGCTTCTTCTTTTGATTTGGGTTTTAAATACAGGTTTGACAAGTAATTAGTACGGTAATATAATTTTATTTCAGTTTGAAGGGTATTAATCAAAAATGATATATTTTTTAGGACAGTCAGCCTAATTTTCCCTAATCTTATTATCAAATTTAAAAAATATGAGAGCAAATCTAGAACGTAGTTTGTAGTAGTAGTGTTGTACAGATACGTGAATGGGAAGGGGAATGACTCAGCCTCGACCACTTCTATAAAGGGTTGAGGTCAATTGGCAGTACAAGCGACCGACCTCTTTTTGTATGGGTCGGACTGGTTTTCTTTGGCGATTGGCTTTTTTATTTTTTCTTGGATGATTTTTAATTTTCAGTTTATTTTTCAAAAAAATTGTATCATAATAGTTTTTGTTAAGCATTCTTTACACCATTTGTTGGGATAAGTGAAGTGATATGTCTAAATTTATAGTTAGACTAATTTAGAGGAAATTGTGTTTTTTAAAAATTATTATTAACTATTGAATTTGGTTGAAACCCAACGTGTCAATAAATCCCACCTCCATTCTCCTTCGCGCATATGTTACCTATTGAGTATTGGAATAACGATAATTGACAAGAAAAATGGGAGTCGAGTTTATATGTATAGATATAACCAAGATTGCAGTTACCTTTTTCAAAGTCACCCAGTATTTATAGGCAAGAAAAATGAGCTGAGGTCTTCCGGATGCTTACCCGTGACCTCATCCCAACGGTTCACTAGTCAAGCTAAATGATGTTACGTTGTTGCTTCCTGGCATCAATTGTTCCAATGCCCAATAGTAAAAGGAGATTTGACTCCCTATCGTTATTGCAAAAGATGTCAAATTAATCACCTATCACGTAGCTCTACACTGTTAGAATACAACTTGCATGAGGCGTCCTAGACCTCCTAAAACCGTCTTGAACACCAAAGGCCAATCAGATGTGACTAAGGACTGTGACCCTTTCGCCTCAATGTGAAGTGGTGCTCTGCTGCAAGTTAAGTAACCTCGAAGACTCTTGTTGACGAGGCCTGGGGGCCTTGATCTCAACGTATCAAAAATAATGATAAACAAGGTGAAGGAATGCGACATCATCGATTCGGAATTAATGATGCTTGCATGGCATTTTTGAGCTGGCAGTCTTGTGACCTACCATATAGGCAGAAACATAACATCAACAACAATTATAGCTATATAAATATAACTTATAAAAACACAGGGTTGGGTAGCCTCCACTTGCTTATCAAAATTGTTTAAGGTATGATCAAACTTATAAAACTATTGTGTTAAATATATTTTCGGTACATCAAATTACTAGCACACGTGTATAGAGTTTCAACACATAAAATGATTTGACTTCTAAAAATGTATAATAAATGCTAAAACCAACATTATGATTTTCTCTCTTAATTTCAGGAAGGCTTTTCCTTCTTTTTGACGATTTTTAGTGTTTTCAAAGTCAATCTTTTGTATGAGAGAGAGATTGATATTCCCGCGTTCTTTGAGCCGTAATTGTTTATTAATCAGAGATATTCTTTCAATTTTGAGATATTAGGTCCAAACATTCTATCAATTCCAAGACCTTTTTATGAGAGATGTTTTTTCAATCCTAACGTTATTTTACTAGAACTCGAATCAGTTTTTCATCGTGTAATGATCTATTTATAGGTGATTTATGAAGGAATTTTTGTTATTTTCCATTATTATATTGAAAGTCATGATTATGTCCCATTTTCAAAGTTTAATAATGTTTGTGCTTGACTCTTGTTCGAGACTACTTTGTTTGCAT